TTTTTTTTTTTTTTTTAATCTTGTTTCTCAAGAAAGAATAGGAAGAAGGATATTTATTTGATCCTCAGGTCATAGTGGTTTTTTTTTTTAACAGTGGCGATGGTTAGAAATTAAAAATTAATACTTTATTTTTTTGATAAAGTTTGACCCCTAATCAAGAATGCAATCTATCGACAGCTTGTTGAGCTAGTAATTACCCATAAACAACAATAAGAAAATGCAAGTCATAATGGTTAATGCCATTAAGTAGGGGAAATAAACTCTCGTGGATTGTGTGTTCAAGTATTTTGTAGGCTCTTTTTTTTATTTCATTTCTTATATGTTTAAAATGTTAACTAATTTTTCTATTAAAAAAAAGGGAATGAAGGTATTTATTTTTTTGATTAAATGTGTGTTTTAGTAGTAGACTTTGCATTTTTAATATTTTTGGTCTTCAAATTATTTTTAACATTTTTTTATCTCTTAATTTTGTAAATTGCACTTCTTTCCATCTTTTAGTTAGTGAGTTAAGTGAGTTAAGTGATAATGTAATTGTTAACTTAATTTAAAATAATTTTTTTTTTTTAACGTTTTGAGTAATGATATATCATTAGATTAGTTTGCATGGGTTCATATTTTGGATAATTAAGGGGGAAGAAGAAAATTTTAGAGGTATTATAAAGAAATTTAATTAATGAATAGTTTTTAGTTCTTTAATTTATTATTTTATTCATCAACTAATAAAATACACAATAGGTCAATTACCTAAATAATTTAGTGGTAATTTTCTTTTTATTGAAAGTAAAAGATAATAAGTTCAAGTCGCATAACATTTAAATAGAGTGAAATAAGAGATGAGAGAAGATTGTTTCTCATTATGCAACTAACATAAAATAATAATAATAATAAATAAATAAATGAATTATATAATAGAGTATCATTATGTCCCTTTCTTAATTCTTCTCTACTTATCTTAAAGTTCAAACTTGATATTTTTTGAACATTTAGTCATTTTAAACACCCTTTTTGAGCTTATTATTTATTTATTTAAACCATCATGAGCACTATATACTTTGTTCGATTATTTTAACTTTTTGGGTTGAGGAAATGGAGGGAAGGAGAATTATTTTCCCCCATTCCCCTCCATTTCCTTTTCATTTAAATAAGTAATTAAATTAAAAAAATAAAGTAAAGAAAAATTTTCTTTTCCCTCTTCTTTTGATTTTTTAAATAATCAAATAGAGAATTTTTTTTCCTCCCCTCTCTTTCATTTTCTTTAACTCAAATATTATATAAATAATACATTTATAAAAGATATATTATAAAAAATT